CCACTTTCGTAGCTGGGGCTGAAAATCGCAACTTTTAACTACGAAAGTAGTACGTGAAGTCCAGTTTCGCAGCTGGGGCTCGAAAATCGCAACTTTTAAGTACGAAAGTAGTACGCGAAGTCAACTTTCGGGGATTGAACATCGCAACTTTTGAGTGCAGAGAAAGATGGGTAGATAGATAGATCAATAAACAGATATAGAGATAGCTAGAGAAATAGATAGAAAGAGATAGAGAAACAGAGATAGACAGAGATAGATAGATTTGTAGATAGATAGACAAATAACTAGCTAGATAGATAAAGAGATAGAGAGATAAATAAATAGCGAGGTAGATAGATAGATAGGAGATAGAGAGGTAGATAGATAGGTAGATCTATAGATAAATCGCAACTTTTAAGTACGAAAGTAGTACGCGAAGTCAACTTTCGCAGCTGGGGCTTGAAAATCGCAACTTTTAAGTACGAAAGTAGTGCGCAAAGTCCACTTTCGCAGCCGGGGCTTGAAAATCGCTACTTTTAAGTACGAAAGTAGTACGCAAAGTCCACTTTCGCAGCTGGGGCTCGAAAATCGCGACTTTTTAGTACGAAAGTAGTACGCGAAGTCCACTTTCGTAGCTGGGGCTCGAAAATCGCAACTTTTAATTACGAAAGTAGTACGTGAAGTCCAGTTTCGCAGCTGGGGCTCGAAAATCGCAACTATTAAGTACGAAAGTAGTACGCGAAGTCAACTTTCGGGGATTGAACATCGCAACTTTTAAGTGCAGAGAAAGATGGGTAGATAGATAGATCAATAAACAGATATAGAGATAGCTAGAGAGTTAGATAGAAAGAGAGAGAAAGAGACAGAGAAACAGAAAGAGAAAGAGAAAGAGAAAGAGAGAAAGAGAGAAAGAGAGAAAAAGAGAGAGAGAGAGAGAAGCAAGGGGCCAAGGACAGTTCTCCAAACTATAGTTGTTCACTGCTTTGAAACTTCCGCCCCCCGGCTCTGCCGGACCTTACTTGTAGACTATACAGCCACCGAACATGTGTCGAAACATGGCCATGACCGTGTGTCCTTGTTGCAATCACCACATTGAGCACCAGAGCCGCCATTCCGTAATGTTGCTGGGCAGTTCGAAACGCACGCAGAATGTCCAGCAGCACCGAAACCTTTTGCTTGAAGGGGTCGGAATCGATGTAGTGGAGGCGAAGCTGTGTCGTCAAAGAAGAAATGGATGGACCATGTCTGTAGCATGTGTTGGTCTTGATGCTATCAGCACATCCCTCCAGCTTGGTTTCCGGACAAGCCACGTATGCTGCGAGCAAGTAAATCAGAATCTCGCCCGGAGCTGCCAAATTCAAGTCGAGACCTCGGAAAAGAACGTTGATTGCAAGAATGAAATGGAATTGCTCGGATTTCCAAAAATACCCACTGCGGGAGGCTAGCACAAGGGTAATGCAATACAGCTCACGTTGACCCCTTTGGTGTTCCATGGGTCCAGAGACTGTAGAGAAGCTAGTGCCGCAGAGAATAGCACCTTACGACGTCCCGCCATGAAAACCCTTGAGCCCTCGCACTTGCAAGCCCTGGGCACTTTCGGACACTTGCAAAACAGCAGCGTCCATATTGCGGAATAGAAATCTGTTTTCAACCCTTCTGTCAGGAGGCAACGAGATATGTCAAAGCTCCGACCTTGCCATCACGAAGGTGTGAAACGCTTCAGCAAAATGCTTTGGGACTGGATTACATAGGTTGCATGAGGACAAAGCGTCGCAGGAGCAGCTAGCGAAGCGAAAGACTGGACATGATTTTGGCCGGGCCACATGGCTATCCATCTGAGAAGGTGCTAAATACTGGCAACAAGATAGGAGGCAAGGTTTGCAACAGCACTGCCAACAAGAAAGGGTGCTCGAACTACAGTGATGCTACCAAGAGGAGACTAGAAGATGGGTGGCCCGAAAGCATGAGCAGCGCACGACGCCAAGTAATCCTAGCAAGTTCTCTGCGCAAGTTCCTCTGAGCAAGCGTTGGCGCGAGTTCCTTTGAGCAAGTTCTCCAAGCAAGTTCTTGGCACAAATTATTTGAGCAAGTTCTCTCGGCAAGTTTCTCTGAACAAGTTTCAATGAGCAAGTTGTCTGAGCAAGCTCTCCGCGCGCAGCGCTTGCCGCTGCAACTTCTAGCGCCACTTGCTGGTGCTACTTGCTAGTGCCACTGGCTAGCGCTACTGGCTCGTGCATCTCGCTAGCGCTATCTTGCTCGTGCTACTGGCTATCGCTAGTGCTACTTGCTAACGCAACTTGCCTGCGCAACTTGCTGGTGTTATGCGCTGGAGGTCTTTCCTGCAGCGCCGCTTTATATGATTTTGGCTAAGACGGTGGCTGACCCGCACACAAGCCCTGTGCCACTTGGCTGGGCTCTGCTGATGCACCACAAGGATGCAAACCAGTCAGTTAAGGCCACTTGGCTGGGCTCTGTTGATGCGCCACAACCAGTCAGTTACGGCCACTTGGCTGGGCTGTGCTGATGCGCCAGAAGGATGCAAACCTGCACTTGACCAAGAAGCGCGGCACTGGCTTCCAAAAAGCAGCTCAGTATCCTGAGCAAAGCAATCAGCCGGATGTCCCAGAATATTTGTTTGTCGAGAATACAGACACATTTAAGGCTCGACAGGGCTCTGCTCATGCGCCAGAAGGATGCAAACCTGCACTTGGCCAAGAAGTGCGGGACTGGCTTCCAAAAAGCAGCTCAGAATCCTGAGCAAAGCAATCAGGCGAATGCCACGGTATTTGTTTATCGAGAACAACAGTACATACTTAAGGCTCGGCAGGGCTCTGCTGATGCGCCAGAGTGCAAACCTGCACTTGACGAACCAGTGCGGCGCTTCCAAAAAGCAGCTCAGAATCCTGAGCAAAGTAATTGTTTATCGAGAACAAAATGGACACATTTAAGGCTCGACAGGGCTTTGGTGATGCGCCACACAAGGATGCAAACTTGCACTTGGCCAAGAAGTGCGGCGCTGGCTTCCAAAAAGCAGCTCAGTATCAGCCGTATTTGTCTCTTGAAACCAGTCTACATATTTAAGGCTCGACAGGGCTCTGCTGATGCGCCACAAGGATGCAAACCTGCACTTGACCAAGAAGTGTGGCACTGGCTTCCAAAAAGCAATCAGCCGGATGTCACTATATATTTGTTTTTTATCGAGAGAAACATAGACATATTAAAGCCTCGACAGGGCCCTGCTGGTGCGCCACAAGGATGCAAACCTGCACTTGACCAAGAGTGCGGCACCGGCTTTTAAAAAGCAGCTCAGTTTCCTGAGCAAAGCAATCAGCCGGATGTCACGATTTGTTTGTTTAACGACAAGAAAATAAGGCTCGACATTGCTTGTTTCTAGCTCCAACGCTGCTCCGCAAGGATGCAAACCTGCACTTGGTCAAGAGAGAGGCACATCCTTTGCACGCAGGCTGTCAGCAAAATCTGCGACATGCCCTTTCCCCGTTGCGAAACATTGTTGCAAGTGGTTCCTGCTGACTTGTCGAATCTATGTTTCTAGCTTGATGCTTCTCAATTGCGCTTGCGAGCTGCTGCCACGTGAGCCGAAGGGAGCCGAGGGAGCCGAACGCCGGTTACTGGATGGAACAGGTTCAGTTGGTTTTGCCCGAAAGCTTCAGTTTTCCTGTTGAGGGCTGTAAGCAGGAAAACAGCCAGCTGGCAGCAACGAGCGCAGAGACTGGGAGAAACAGGGGGGAGTCACAGCGTTGTCGGCCTCGGACATGTACACCACGAAGTTGGAGGCCGTGCCGAGGCGATACCGGCAGGCGAAGAGGAGCTCCCGGCCGGGGGTCAGGTTGTAGGTGCGCACGATGTTTCAGAGGTTCACTGCCAGGGTCAGGGTGTAGCCGTCCACAGCATCTGGCATCTGACCGCAGAGACTGGGGCAGACAGGCGGAAGACACGACCCCGCAGCCAGCATCGCAGCATCCGCAGCTCGCAGAGACTGGGAGATACGATTCAGCCTCAGACACAGGGAGACAAGCGGGAGCGTCTCAGCATCTGGCATCCGACGGCAGAGGGACAAGCGGGAAACACAGAAAGACAAGCGGGAGACACGACCTGGGAGACACGCAGCTGGCGTCACCGCAGAGCCAGCGTCACAGCATCTGGCATCCAGATACAGGGAGACAAGCGGGAGACACGACCCCGGAGCCAGCGTCACAGCATCTGGCATCCGACCGCAGAGACTGGGAGACAAGCAGGAGACACGACCCCGGAGCCGGCATCCGACCGCACAGACTGGGAGACACAGGGCGACAAGTGGGAGATATTATGCTGGAGCCAGTGCCCGCAGAGAGTGGGAGAGCATCTGGCATCTGACCGCGGAGACAGGGAGACATGTCACAGCATCTAAGAGACTCGGAGACACCGGGAGACAAGCAGGAGACACGACCTGGCATCCGACCGCAGAGACTGGGAGACAAGCGGGAGACACGACCCCGGAGCCAGCGTCACAGCATCTGGCATCCGACCGCAGAGACTGGGAGACACAGGGAGACAAGCGGGAGACACGACCCGGAGCCAGCATCACAAAAAACGGGAGATGGGAGACACAGGGAGACAAGCGGGAGACACAACCCCGGAGCCAGCGTCACAGCATCTGGCATCCAGACACAGGGAGACAAGCGGGAGACACGACCCCGGAGCCCGCGTCACAGCATCTGGCATCTGACCGCAGAGACTGGGAGATACAGGGAGACAAGCGGGAGACACGACCCTGGAGCCAGCGTCACAGCATCTGGCATCTGCGCGGAGAGACTGGGAGACAGGAAGACAAGCGGAAAACAGGACCCCGGAATCGGCGTCACACTTTCCTATTCTCTATACCTCAAGTTAGAACCCCAATGCTTCGATGTTTGTGGGAAAAAACGGGTTGAACCGGATGCCTGGGGACCAAGACCACCTACGAACCCTCCGGTTCAGAAAGCGAAACCCTCGGCCCCCCGAGCCAAAGGCCGCCAAGTCGCTGGAGGTGTCCTGCGGCCGCATCTGCGACCGCATCATCCGCAGGTACCTCGGGTGAGGCACAAGCTCAAAACCCGGTCATAAACTGGTCAAAACCCGGTAAAAGGGTACCTTTGTTGAGGTGGCTTGTGGAGGGAAACCAAAAAGGACCTCACCATTTGCCGGCCGGAAAAAGACACACCCATTTGAGGACGGGTAATGTTAACCCCGGATGAAGCAGAACCTCTGGTTGATTTTCATTGGGGGGTGTCCAATTCCTTTTAGTGGTTGGATTCGGACCACTTTTGGAGGGGTTTCCACTCCCCTAACAGTGGGAGGGGTTTATTAATCCGGGGTCAACATTAATAAACTGGTCTACCCATGTAAAGGATTAAGAAGGCGGATATCCGCACCTATTGTTGGTTGGGATCGTGAATCACTAACCTTCATCTACCGGGGTTTTGATTGTGACTCAGGTCTGACCGCCTCACCCCGACAACGCCTGACGACGCCCGACCAAGGGAACCGGGCCAAACCGCACGGGAGGTCTGCAAGTCAGCCCGCGAAGGGGCCAATGCGTTTGTTGTCTCCCCTGTCTCTTGGTCTAGTTTCTTTTTTTCCCCAGATAGCTGAAAGCTATAGGGGTTCTAACTTCTAACAAAGAGGGGAAAGTGATTTGGTCTATTTTCTTTTTTTTGGGTTTGGGGGCGGGTTGCCTTAGAGGGAAATATGTTGTTGCTGTGTTTGTGTTTTTGTTTGGGGGCGGGGGTGGCTTTAAAGAAAACATCAGAAGGGAAAGCAATGCTTTGGAATGGTAACTCGACGCCCAGTGGATTCCCATGGAATTTAACAAGGGCCATACTTGCAGCTGACTTTCGAAACAACCCCCTTCAATAAAGGCAAGCAGAAAGGTTTTGAGCTTTCTCTCTGACTCTTGCGCTGTCAAGAGTCTCCCTCCCTCCCTCCCTCCCTCCCTCCCTCTACATATTTTAGCATATCCCGGAACGCCTATAAAAAGAATCCTCACCAGAGGGCTTGGGTATGCTCCAAAAGTATGTTGGAGAGTTCTAACATACTGACCCCGTTGCATTCCTGCTTGGCATCCAGCTTCTGGGGGGTGCCAAACCTTAAAGACCAACTCCTGTTGAAAGAGAGCGCCCCCTCACTAGATCGGTGACTTCAAACCGCGCGCTTGCTTGTTTTTTGCGGGGGCCTGACGTTTCGGGGCGCTGGTTTCCATATTAATGGACAGGAGGGCACTCTATTTGAGACATGCCCTAGTTCTTCGCCCGGACGCCTCGCTTCCGACCAAGTGGATTTTACCACAATGGCAAACCCAAACAGTGACTAATAAGGTCCTAAACGGAACTCAGAAAGCGAGATTTTCTTAAGCACCCGTGGAACAAAACAGAACCTATGTCCAGTAGTGATAGGTTCTCTTTTGGGATTTGAGCATCTATCCTAGGTCCTCAGTGAGAGAGGTTAGAATAAGGGTACCAACTTTTCCTTCTGTAGTGTATTTTAGGGGAACCCTCCCAACCAAATAAGGGGTGAGAGGTCGGGCACCTAGCTGGACCTAGCCAACAGTGCCTCAAAGCTCCGAGTTTCGGAACTCGGGATCGCATCTATCTACAAGACCTGCCCCAGTTCTAACCCGAAAAGGGAAAAACAACTAGAACAAATAATAAGAAGAAAAACAACTAGAAAAAAAAGCCGGAGGCACCAAACAAAAATTAGAAAACAAGAAGAAGAACAAAACGGCCGCAGGCACGAGGCATCCTCCAGCGCGGCGCGGCGCTGACGCACCCAGCTCATGCCGCTGCGGTAGCCCGGGAGCCGCTTCACCTCAGCGATGGCCGACCGCCGGGGTGGATTGGGCCAGCTCCCATCGAGTGGATGACCCCAACGGGTCAAACCTTGAATCACAGCTTTGACCTAAGCTGACGGAGGGAGTGGACCCAAAGACAAACATGATACTCCAAAGAAAGTGCTAGGAGCTTGCCACGACAATGGCAACCAATCCCCCCAAAAATAAGTGCCCTATGCACCCTAAAGGGACAAGAGGCTTGCTGTTGCTAAAGGAACCAGGTGACGTTGACCACTGATAAACCTTCCAGTTCTCTTTTGTGGGGACTCCTTCTGTTTAGGGGGACCCTGATCGATAACTGGTTCTTAATCAGAGG